TGTGTGTGTGTGTGTGTGTGTGTGTGTGTGTGTGTGTGTGTGTGTGTTGGGGGCACTCAAGGATCTTCATTCCTTTCCAGGTACAAAAACTTAAGTGGGAACTGGCTGCATGCTTTCTAAGTGGGTGGTGAGGCCAGGCCAGGGCAAGACCAAGAGGGATTAGGGATAATCAGTAGATGGCAGAACCAAAAAAGACCCTGGACGTTGCCTCAGTGTTTTTATGCTAGCACTCAGAGAGGACGGGTCTTCCCAAGGCCACATACAAGCAGCACTGGAACTAGGACTAGGGTCTCTCCACCATAGTGTTGCCTGTCTTCCTGACTCAGGGAGGTCCCTGCTGCCAGGATGATACTGACTGGAAGTGTGTTCGAAGGGTTCTGGTGTCTCTAGTCAGAGAAGCTGAGGCAGGCAGGGGCCAGGGTTAGGGCCCCAGTACACTCCTTTCCTTCATATCCAAAGTGACCCTCGTGTCACCAGAAGCTTCCCCCACCCACCTGCCCACGATGTAATGATGATTCGGTACCTGATGTGCCCCCAATGTCCATGGCTTTGAGGTTGCGAGCTTTGATGATGTTCACGATGATGGAGTTGGCAGAGGGGTTGTAGCAGAGAGACAAGAGCAGCTCCCCTCGGCTCCCCTGCAGGGCAACAGGAAGAGTGAGGCTGGGCCACAGGGAGGGGGTGCTTCCCTGATCCCTACAGGAATGTCAGGGGTGGGGACTAGAGGGTAGATTGTGGTCAGAGAGCCTAGCTGTCCACAGATCCCTTCTGCCCCGACCTGGGTGATACCAGCTCCTCTGGCACCACTGTCGTGCCATCTCCTCTCCTCTGGCTATGTTTACTCAGAGCTCCCAATTCTCCAAACAGAGCCCTGGGCTCATCACACAGCTCCGGAGATTCACCCCAAGTTCTAAGGCCCAGAACTCCAGCCACAGGTGAGAGCCAGCTCTCTGAGGGCTGCCCTCCCATGCTCCACTCTGAGCCCTGTCAACATCCTAAGGCTGAGGATGGCCGAGGACCCTCTACCAGCCCTGGCCACAGTGCTCCAGCTACAGGACTACAGGGAGCCTTACACTCCCATCGCTGCATGGCTTCAGATCCTTCCAGAAGGTCTGCATCTGAGTCAGGTCCACCTTATTGAGAGGGATTGACACTTCCCCAATTGGATCATTGCGGCTGAAACGGTCATAGTCCAGGACCTGGAGGTAGAGGACCCTCTGCACCACTTTCTCGTAGGGAAACCCTGTGTGTGGGGGGGCAGATAAACAAGATGAGGAGTGTTATCACAGCAACAAGAAAAGCAAGTAAAATGGAGGGAAGGAAGAGATGGAGAGTGGGGGAGGGAGGGAGAGAAGGGAGGAAGAGAGGAATGGGGGTGGGGGAAAAGAGCAGGAAGTCCCTGTGAGTGGGACTTGTGTCCTCTGTCACCACCCTAGGCCAGCAGGCCACAACTGACTGCAGTAGCACTTTCTGAAGTGCCAGCAAGAACTCTGTCTCAAGTGTCCCAACAGATGGGGAAACCAAGGCTCAGATGGTTTACGTGACAGTACCAGAACCAACAGTAGGACGAAGACCATTAATGTGTTCACTGCTCGTGTGTCCATTTCGGGTCTGGGCAGCAGCCCCCTTGCTCTCTGGATCAAGTCTAGGCAAGCTGCTCTGCCTGAAGCTGTGTGGCTGTCACATAGCTAGTCCCAGGACGACAAGGGGTCAGGGAAACTAGAAAAGTACTCATGAACCAGGGTTCTGGGATGATGCTTTCCCCTTTACTTCCCCCCAGAACTGATGATCAGCCTGTCTATCTGCTCTGCCTAAACAGATCCCAGGATAGGTACCCAAGCCACCAGCACCTCTTGCCCAAACAGCCATGAATGTCCAAACCGCCCTTCCCGCTCCTAAGCTTCCTCCTGTGGCCCATTCTCAACACTGTGGCCAGATTGATTTTTTTAAAAATAGCCAGCATGCCACAGCCAGCTCCTTTTAACATCCCAGGGCATCCAGTCCTTCCAAAGTGTGGCCTCACTGTCCCTCTGCGGGCAGGTAACCACTCTTCCCTCAGTGCCCAGGCTCCATCCCTGTAGACCTTCTTCCTGATGCCTTGATATCCTGGCTCTGCCTGCATCAGGACCTAAGCTATGAGCCCTGACCATGCCTGCTCCAGCCAATTCTCAACTTTTACATCTAGGTTCTCCTTTCCAGCAACACAGATGGGTAGGCTGCCCTGTAACACACTCCATCACTTTCCTTTCTTGGCTCTAGGGCAAGCCCAAACAGATTTATCCATCTGTTTCCTCCATTATCTTACGGCCTGCCTGCCGGGCCAGGGTAGTCACTTACATTTTGAAATTTCATTTTTGTGGGTGAATGTGTGCGAGCATGAAAGCATGTATGCGCTCACATGGGTGTGCCTGTGCCACAGTGTGAATGTGGAAGCCAGAGGACAACTTGGCAGGGATTGGTTCTCTCTCTCCACCATGTGGAGCCTGGGGATCAAACAAAGGTCATTAGGCTGGGCATCAAGCACTGTGCCTGCTGAGCCACTTCACTGGCCCAGATGAACATTTGTTGAGAGAACAGATAACTAGGGGCTGCTGAGATGAGGCAGTAAAGCACTTGCCACACATGCCTGAGAACCTGAGTTCGGATCTCTAGGACCCATCTAAACCCTGAGTGCAGTGGTGGGGACTGTAACCCCAGCACTGGGGAAATTGGAGGTCAGATGGAACCAGGTGGATCCCTGGAGCTTGCTGTCCAGCTCCTCCAGGCAACTGCTGAGCTCTAGGTTCAGTGAGAGACCTGTCTCAAAAAAGATAAGGTGGATGTGTGTGGAGAGATGGTTCAGTAGCCGTGAGAGCAAGTACTGCCCCTGCAGAGGACCAGGGTTCAGTTCCCAGTGTCCACTTCAGGTAGCTGCTAACTTCTTCCGACCTCCACGGGGCCCTCACACACAAGGCTTTTCCCCACAGAGATACACACAAACGCACAGAAAATATTTTCTAAATAATGGCATAGAAGCATCAAGAAGGACACCCATTGTTGACCTCTGTCTTCCACACACATGCATGCATGCGCATGTGCACATACATGTACCAGACCCCCCCCCCCACACACACTGAATAGATAATTGAATGCATGAAGAAACATCATTGATTGAGCCGGCCCTATGGAGTGGCCAGAATGAAAAGGAAAAGGGGAGAGGGCAGGTCTGACCTCCGGGAGGCACAGGTGACCTGGCGTAGGGACAGGCCAGCCTGGAGGTGGTGTAAAATTCTGAGGTGTAATCAGGGGGAAGGAAACATCTAAGGGATCCCCACCAGCTACCTGATGGATATGAAGGATACTAGAATGTTCTTCATCAAAACACACACACACACACACACACACAAAAAAAAAAAAAAAAAAAAAAAAAAAAAAAAAAAACATAAAGGAGCCTCTGACGGCTGTGGATCTGAGAGGATTCCTCTGATTCACTTGGGGTCTCCCTTTCTACCAACTGAGGGAAACTTATCTTGCTCATCTTGAAGGCCCTGAGGGACCTTGCCCAGGTCACCCTTGGTATCTGTTCAGGTAAAATGCAAGAAGACAAGTGTCCTGGGAATATTAGTGGCTCCAAGAAGTCCCTGTGCCTAAATCAGTTTCTCCACATGAAAGTCTCCTATATGCCAAAAACTCATCAGAACCTGTCTTGAATGGCTGATTTTTTGAGTTTTTTTTTTTTTCTCTGCACACTAAGAGGAGACTATACAGGGTTCCTACAGAACATGGCTTAATTGCCAGCACAGCTTTGTCTTCCACAAGGCAGGAGTGTTTGAGGGGCTGTATAAATCCCTCATTCTTTTCTGAACTCTGCAGATCCAGCTAAAAGTTGGTGGTGAGTAAACGTTTGTGTGAGAGAGCTGGGGGTTGACACTCTGCCCCTAAGCCTCACCCATGTGCTGGCAATACATGCTCCCAGATGCCAAGCCTCTGGTTAACCATCCCATCTCTAACCTGGTGGCCATGCCGACCTGGGGAAGAGAGGCCCAGGAACAGAGGCGGTCATCAAACTGTCAAGTCACAGGACACACAGGTGCCCATGGGCTTGGATACCAGCTGGGGAAGAGTCCCTGGAATAAGCTTGTTGGGCTCTAAAAGGCCAGGGCACCTCAAAGCAATTGTAATCCCACAGGGTCTGCTCTTCTCAGGCTGAACCAGGTTATGGAGAAAGAGTAAAGGCTTCCTACGGTAGCATCCGGCCACCCCAGGCCTGGAATAGGAACAGTCCCCTCACTGCACACCCTGTGTTCTCAGACATGACAGATAAAGAATGGCTTTGGCAGCAGGGCCACATTTGGCTCACTTGTGCCTCTTGGAGCCAGAGGGAATGGCTCAGAGATCTTGTTTGCCTCCCATGGTGGGAATGGGTCAAAGATCAGCAACAGCCACCATGCCTTCAACAAACTGATACCAGCACCTTCTGGGTGTCAGGGCCTGCCTTCTGTGCTTTGAAAAGCTACTAATCTGTTTAATTATCATTATTACCTCGTTTTAGAGATGAAAAACCGAGGACCGGCGAGGTTAGGATCTTGCTTATTGTCACAGAGCTAATAAGTGAGAAAGTTGAGATCCTAGCTCAGAAAGCCTAGACCAGGGGAGGTGGAGGACGAAGATGAGGAAGAAGGGAGGAGCTGCAGAAGGTTCTGGTACTTCTACTAGTTGCATGGGGGCACTTTAGCTGGTTACTCCAGAGCAATGCATCTTTGAATGCCTCAAGATGGGACCCTAGCCTGTATAACAGTCTTTTTCCTCAGCCTGTGGCTGGTATGTCGATTTCTCTCACCTCCTGGAACCAATCTGAGCTGGAAGCATAACGGATTGGGCTAACCAGGTACGTGTGTGCATGGAATTTTAGCATGTATATCCATCTTACATGCATGTGTGTGCTTATGTGCCTGCACGCCTGTGGGCATGGGTTTGTCAGTGTTTCTTGCCTGCAGCCACACATGTGGGATGGGATCGGTGGGCAGGGAGGTGGCACCAGCCTCACCTTCAAAAAGAAAGGTCTCGTTCCAGTGTGGGTTCAGATTCTTCCGCTTCACCTTGGTCTCCAGTTTGTGCTTCTTGTCGGGTAGCAGGTAGATCTTGACGAAGGGGTCACTGGTGCCACTGAAGTCCTTGGCTGGAAGCTCCTGGGCCTTCATGACCTTCACGGTGAGCGTGGACTCCTGGAAGTTGTAGCCAACGCTGAACTGGATGCGGCCCAGGTTCTCTCGGCTGCAGCCCTCATGGGCCTCGTCCTCCTCGGAGCCTGGGGAGAGCTGTGGTGGAAGAAGAGGGCAGGTTGGTGGGGGGCTCTATCTCCGCCAGGCTCCTGGGCAGCAGGACAGGGTCCAGAAGCCTCTCTGGGCTGGAGGCCTGTAAGCCAAGTCCTCCTCATCCAATCCATGGGTACTGGCCCATCCATGGCCAAAGGAGGATAGTCAGGTTCTGAGAGCCCTGCCTTAACCAGAAAGGAAAGGAAACAGGGCCAGGATGATTTTGCCTTCCGGACCCCAGAGCCATGAGCAGGAGACCCCGCTTTCCCACCTCCTCCTTGAAACCGCCAGTCAGCTCAGCTCTAAGAGCCACCCTAAGCTGTCCTGGCCTCCCTCCCCTCCTCTTCCAGCCCTATTGACTCTTGGGAGACAAACCAACTCCTGTAAAGGTGCCCTCTGGGGGCTATGGATGATGCCGTTTACAGGATAGGAAAGGAAGTGTTCGAATGGGGGGAGGCTGAGACACCACCGGCATGACGAGACAGGCCCTCCAGGCTGACCCCAGGGAGCCTGACTGGACCAGGCTGGGGTCCATGGGAACTGAGGTTCTACCTCCTGGCTATGCCTGTTCCCAATCTCCGATCCTCAGCATAGATGCCTGGACAGGCATGGACAGCAGTGGGTTGTCACAAGGAAGGGTTGGGTATCACATTTTCATCACAACATGGAAATGGGGGGGAGAGGTTGGGGATCTCCCAGTTGGCTCACTGGAAGGCCTTGAGGTCCTACCCTACCCAGGTAGGGGTCCTGCTGGCCTGGATATCTTAGAGTCCACATCTCCTTTGGTGAAAAGATGGTTGTCAGGAGCAGGCCCCCAGGAATTGCAGATGGGACAAAATGGTAGGCATTTGCCTTCAGCCCACAGTCCCTCAGAAAATCTTTGGGCCCCTCCTGGAAAGGCAACCCCAGCTTCTCAACACAGACCATTACAGGCAACATAAGGCAGAAAGAGGTACCTACCATGGTAAAGACTCCTATGTCACCTTCTTACTGCCGGGCCAGGCGGCTGTCACCCACCTATTGCTGAGGAGACTGGCTCAAAGAGGTTTAGTCACATGCCCAAGCTTTCACAGCAGTAGGGACCCTCTCTGATTTCAAGCTCCGCTCTTTCTACCAAAGCAGGGCCAGGCCCCAAGTCATAGGAAGGCCCTCCCCACAGCCACTCAAAGACCTACCCACACCAGGCAGAAGTGTCCAAATCACACCGATGATGGCAAATACTGCCCATGGGCCACCTGCTGCAAGCCAGCTCTCCCCTGTGCCACACATTTGGCTTCCTATGTGCCTTTTTTATACCCTGAGGCAGTCTTGGAGACACAGATTTTAGTCCATTCACCTCAAGCCCCATGATTGAATGGCCAGTCAGAACTTGAAGCCAGGTTTGTGGTCAGTAACTGTGGGTGCCTGGCCACTTGTCTTGGCTCCTGAACTTAACTTGTGTACCCCAGGCTGGCCTCTAATTCTCTGTGTTGGAAAGCTGTCCTTGATACCCCTGCCTCTATCACCAGACCGCTAGGCCATGTGCCACAACACCTAGTTTATTAGGTGCTGCAGTGTTTCACACATGCCAGGGAAGCACTCTTACCAACTAGCCTACATCCCTAGTTCGTTGCTGATGCTCCCATTCACGCCATGGCTGATCTCACAGCCCACAGGCTCTATCCCAGGCCCACTCGGGATGTGGCTTTCCCACGCAGAGGCCCCACACCCACTTTTCCCTCAGTCAGAGGCCTCTTCCCCTGAACTTCCTGAACCTGCAGGCTGGGGACCATGGAACTTTAGACTGTAGGTTTTCCAGGAGGGTGAATGCGTTCATGGCACAAGTAGGCAGAGCCAGCCAAGACTACCTGCACCCCCAATTCCCTCTCATATATAAGGGAGGAGTCTTAGGCCAGTGTTGGCATGGGGGAAACCTGGATGTCTAGGTGGATTTTACCTCTGAAAAGGGCAGAGCCTCTGCATCCACTTGCTTAGTTTTCTTAAGGCCAGGCTCTGAGCCCCAGTGAACAAACCATTTCCATGGCAACCAGGCTGCCCAACTTTCCCTTCCCCTGCCCCAATCTCTATCCCAGAAGTAAGCCTTAAAGGACATCAAGCTGCCTGTGCCAGGTCCCAAGGTCCCATGTTCCCTAGCAGATGGTCCACCACTAGGCATCGGATTCTATGCCCTCAGCTTCAGCAGCCTGGGGTCTCACAGGACATATTCTGCCCTGCTTATCTTTACTGTCACTGTTAATATCAATGACCTGGCACTGGCAGAGGGCTGGGTAATTAGACTTGCCTTCCCACCTCCGGGCATCTGTGGAGTACATGAGAAGGAGATAGGCCTGTACTTCCTTCCGCTGCTTGAGTCTGCCAGCCTCTCCCTCAGGGCAGTAAGGGGCCAGCCAGCTGGCTGGGAAGGGGCTGTCCCTTCTGGGAAACTAGGAAATAGTACCAATTAAGGGGCCATACAAGGAAGCAGGGTGGTCTGTGGCAACGGGCTCCCCAGAGCAAAAGACAACCAGCCTGCACAGAGCTGGAGATAGGAAGGAAGTCATAAAGGGACAAGCTAAGGGAAATTCAGATTGAGGCTCCACCTCAGGCCTGATGCCTGGAAACCTGAATCCTTACCCAGATGCCTTGTGACTCTCTGCGTATTGTTACTTGAGACAAGTCATACTGACAGGAAACTGTGGAGCTGGCTGGTTAGAGGTAGCTAGAACCCTGCCTCCACAGGAGAAGAGCCAAGAAAGTTATCTGAGCCCTGTTATGTGCAGTAGAAAGAGAAGGTGCTGGGTTCCCACCATAACCTCTCCAAGCCTTTTAGATCCTCAAATGGTTCTTGTCTGCCAACTTGCCATGCCTGCCCATGGCTGGCTTTTGGGAATTAGCCCAGCTCTCGGGAAAGTAAAAGTAGCTGTTACACATTGGTGCCACCAGGGGGGGTCGTCATGCAAACGGTAGCCCCAGCTTTGGTGATCCACCTAGACTGGGATCACAGGCCTGTCAGCAACAGAGAGCAGCTGAGGTTACTGGTGCGCTACCTACAAGTCACTCCTGAAAGCTCCATCTTACATCTCTACTCAAGGGAATCACATCTGAGGGAAGGGACACCTGCCTCAAGGCCACTGCCTGACAGCCTCTCCTTCCAGGACATAAAACCATCTTGTACGAGTAGGATTTCTTGGGCTTTTTCTCAGTTCAGAAAAGGATCAAAGGAAGACAAATGAGGAAACTGAGGTATGGAAAGGCATTTTGATGAAAGGGCCAGGAAAATGAAAACAAAACCAAATCAAAAAAAGGCCTCATTCAGTCAGCAGACACTGAACAGCCATCATGCTAAGACTGAGCATCTAAGACACTAACTGAGTTACCTACTTCAGGTCCCCCTCCCAGCCCATCCCCAACCCTTCTCACCATGAGCATCTCGCTGGTGAGGGAGTTGACGAGGTCCGAGACAGAGGAACGGGGCTCCGTTCTGCGGTCAGACTCATCGTGTGGCGTCTGGCCCGGCACTGGGGCTGTATTCACAGCCTTCCCTCCTGCAGGCAACCTGGAGGCAGGGGTAGGGAGGGAGTTCCAATGAACATGGGCTTTGGGTAGAGTTGGGCTGGACTCCATGGGCCTGGGTGGCCACAGGATCTTCTCTGAGAAATCAGCCCTTGTCACTTCCTGTGGGCCAGCAGGAGTGAAAGCCCTGCTCACAAAAAGCCTGGTTTTCCCTGCAGACCTGCACTCAGAACTCATGCTTCTTGACTCTCAGCCCTAGGTGATTGGCTGAGCCGCCTGGTGAGAGCTGTTTAAAGGGAGCTTCAGGCTTCCTGCTATTCTCCAAAGCCCCCAACTCTGTGGCTTGCGTGGCTATTCTCGGAGCTCCCTTGTTCTGCAGAGACCTGCTCCACCCAGTCTGGAAGGGGGAGGTGCCTGGTGGCTGTCCAGGTGTCTCTCCACGTCATTACCCTCTGCAAACACTCCACAGCCTCTCTTCCGGAGCCCCACCTGTGTTTACTCAGCCTCATTAGAACCAAGGTGTTCTTCACCCTATAGCAAGGGGAGGCCGGAACCACTGTCCAAATGGCTCTTTCTGGCAGTGTCTGCTGTGACATGTGTTCTTGCACCGTCTCATGTGGTGCACCAGCCATGTGCTTGGAATCTATACATTTGTCATGTAGCCAGTGGGAAGGAGCACCATGTATGTGTATGTATGTGCATGTGTATGTGCACATGTACATGTGTGTGGAAACCTTGATTGCCATTCCTCAGGGGCTCTCTTGTTTTTGCCACTGGGCCTCTCACTGGTTGGGGGCTTGCCAAGGTTGGCTAGCCAGTGGGCCTCAGGAACCTGCCTGACTTCACCTCCCAGCACAGGGTTTACAAATCTACCATGCACAGCTTTTCTTTTCTCAAGGGTTCGAGGGGCTCGGGTCCTTGTGCTTGTGTGGCAAGTTTTTTACTGACCTAGCTATCACCCCATCCCTGAGCATTAAAGTTCTAACATGATTTAATACAAGCTCTTTTACCAGCTGAAGATGTAGCTCAATGGTAAAGCGCTTGCTTACCAACACTGATCAAGACTCCGGGTTCTGTTTCTAACACGGCACAAAAACAAACAAACAAACAAACAAAAAACAACCAACCAAACAAACAGAAAAAACCCCAAAACAAAACCATGCCCACTCAGCTTTAACAGCCGTCCAGGGCACGTGATAACCCATGTCCCTCAGTTCCCACCCTGCTCCCTACTCACACACCACGTTTGATAAGACTCTCACCCAGAGTCAGGGAAAGGCAGGCCACCATCTAGCAGGCAGCCATGTTCGCACCCAATGCCATGCTGGTCCGGGGAGCTAGGATCTCTGGTTTAACAGCCAGGTGGTGAGCCCTGGCTCCATTCAGCTGGAACTTAGGAAGGGGCAACTAAGACCCTGCCCAGGGACCAGGCTGGAATGTCTCATGAGGAGGAGGAGGTGGGGAGAGGCAGTGAGGAAGAGATGGCGTAGGGCTTGGGGAGGGCTAAAATTAAATAGCTTTGAGAGCACAGAGCCACACAGGCTGGGTACAAGCCACATCCCCTGGCACAGACCAGCTTGAAGTACACAGGCGGCCACAGCAGGCAGATACAGACATGCTCAGAATATGCCAGGCCCTGGGGGAAGACACCAGGATCCGACAGCAGGGCGTGCACACACAGACGCACATACACACACATAAAAATTCACACTGATACCTAGAGCAACAGGGAGAAGACGGCACGGGCAATGGGCAGGGCAGCCAGCGCCTCTTCGGCTAACACACACAGCTGGAGGCATACTTAGTTCCCGAAGGGGAGAGCCAGCCATGCGAAAGTGTGCGTGTGAATTGGAACAAAAACAGAAGCCAGAAAGGCAGGGCCAGCAGGTCGTCAGGTGCACTACACACCTGCCGTGAGCCCCTGGCCTTGCTCTGTAACACAGCACAACACATCCACCCACCTGCCTGCCCTCTCCCTGGACACCCTAGAGGTGTGGAAACACCAGTGCACAGAGTAGCAGGCACACACATGAGCCCCCCCACCATGACCACACACGCACATGGACACGTGCTCACACAGACAGGCACGGGGAGGAAGAGGAGACTGAAATAGCTGGAGAGGTAAAGTCAGGTTAAAAATAGAGCAGAAGAGGAGAGAGCGTGAGATTGACTGCTGAAGGTATGAGAGAGTCAGAGTTATTTTGGCCACACCACAGCGTCAGCATAGCTGCAAAGCAGCCTGGGAAAAGATGGTCAGCACCCCTGAAGCTGTCGGAGGTCACAGGACAGAAAGACAGGCATTGGGATAGGCAGAGGGAGAGGCCGGGGGGGGGCTGGTCACTGGCCCAGGGACACCCCTGTGAGGAGCAGATGGAGGAAGGAGATAGAGAGACAGAGGCGGGAGTGGGGTGGGGGGAGAGGCTAAGAAAGGTTAGTCAGACGTGTGAAGAAGGCTGCTGGGTGGACAAGGGGACAAGTAGCGTGGCGGCTGACAGAAGAGGCAGAGAGGAGGCGGGGAACACACAGAGGCGGAAGAAACATGGTGGCTCCGGAGGAGGAGAGCAATGGGGGTAGCCTGGTCCGCTCTGCCCCCCACTCGGGGTGGGGGTGGGGCCACGGTGGAAACCATTTGGATCCCAAGGAGCAAAGGTGAAATGCTGGAAGGATGGCTGTGAGCACGCAGTGGGTGGTGTGGGAGAATGAGTGGGACAGACACAGCAGGGTGGAGGCCTCCACTCCCCCACCCCACTCCTACACTTGAGTACCTTGAGATATATATTGAGGCCCAGGGCTTGGGGGATTCTGGATGGGAGATTTCAGGGTACCAAGGAATGTTGGGTGGGTTGGAGGCAGACTGTCCCTCGCATCCCCTGTAGCTTGTTAGATATCCATCCTCTTTGCCTGGACCCTGGAGTGGTTTCCCCTCCCCACAGAGCTCTGTCACACAAGAGCCTGTCGCTTAACAGACCAAGGGGGCTGAGTATTTCCTTCAACAGCAGCCAAGACAATTGGTCAAGGGGTCAGCTGGGGTGGACAGGTCATGCTTTTAAAGAAGGGGCAGATGAGCCAGCCTGTGGCTGTAAGGCCCACAAGTCAAACATGGGTCCCAAAGGTGTGACAGCTTGGTGGGGGCACCTATGCCAAGCTATGGGATAAGGACACCTACTCGGGAGTAATCAGTTGAGTCTGCAGTCCCTTGAAACTACCCACCACTCGGAGACACCCCAAGAGCTGTGAGAAATGAGTTTCGAATATGGGAGGGCATGAGCAGGTGGGAATGACATGTATCCACTCGGAAAGTGAGGCCAGGTGGTGGGGAGGGCCCAAGGCCTCCACCTCCATACCCACCTTTCCCAGGCAGGCGGAGGACAAGCTGATGTCATGATCAGAAGGGATGGGTGTACTAAAATATGGAGACCTGAGTGGCAAGGAAGTATAAATAGGCTGCTGGGTGAAAATGGAGCCGGTTAATTAACACATGGATGATGCGAAATCTTGTTTCCAGCCTGCATCTGCTCCCTCACGCTTCACACCTTCCCCCCACCCCCCCGCAACCCTCCCTGGCAAAGGGCTTGGGTTCTCAGCGGTCTTTCAGAGGGCTCCAGTCCCCCTGCACCCTCTTGTCCCTGGCCCCACCCCTCCCTTTGTGGCCCTCTGGCCTACTTGGAGCCCATCTTTGAGACCCCGTGGCTTCTGTCAGACCCAGATGGGTTGCGGGGAGGGGGGCAGGCTCTGCTACTTCCCCAGCCCCGTCTTCACATCTGGGCTTGGGGCCTGACACCAGCTGTACCACCAAGTGAAGGGACAGGTCTCATTCTCCCCTCCTACTCTGTTAAGAGCTTCTGACCCAACTAACACATGCATCATGGATTCAGGGTGGGAAGGAAAGAGAGGGCTGGTCTCCAGAAGCCACTGTGAGACAGCTAGACAGCTGTCAAATACAGTCCATCTCCTCTAAGCTACAAGCCCCTAGCAGCAGCCTGGGGCAGTCCCTTCCTGTCCCTGAAGGCCTTTAATGAGCATCAGGGTTACCAGTCTAAACCTGATCTCTGCCCAGCTCACAGGATCTGACAAGTGTCCCAGCCCTAAGGCACATTTCCTCATTAGAAGCATTGTGTGTTCCTCAGAGGTCAGCCTGCTCAATGCTTCATTTGACAGAGGCAGAGGCAGAAGCCTAGACAGGGTCTCTGATTTGTCTGAGGTCACAGAGTGAGACTCTGGCTAAACCAGTGATGGCCTACATGCCTTGCCTTTGGCTTCATGGGAAGCAGATCTGAGCATAAGTAGATGTGAACCCAGCCCAAGGCCATGTCAAGGGAACAAGCAGGTATGGACTCCACCTTTGGGAGTGCTAATAAGCCCTACAACCTTCAATCCTCCCTTTACCTGTGAACAGTGCACAGTCACTCCTTGACACAGGGGACAGCAGGAGCGGCTTCCCTGAATTTCAGGTGGCAAAGGCTAGGAGATCCAGGCTGTACTGCAGCCACCTGGACTGGACTTTATGGGGCCCTGAGGAAGGCAATTTGGACAGGGAGCAAGGCAGAACCAAACCTTGCCCTTGCTGTGAACAGGTGGCCTCACATCCCATTCCTGGAGGCTGTGCTCAGGGACCACCCTTCTGGTTCCTTCTGGTCACCAGGCCTCTCTCATGGTTCCTCACCCCAGACCCTCCCCACAAGGGGCTTCTCTTCCATGGCTGAGTGGCACAACAGGTCCTGCAGGCCAGGGGAAGGTTGAGATGGTGGGGATGAGGAAGAACAGGCTTAGCCATTCCCCAACATCCCCCCTCACTCACCAGCCACCGGAGAAACAGGGATTTCTGGGTTGGGAAGGAGGGTAGAGATGAGAGATGGAGGGGCAGCAGAGGGAGGCAAGCAGGGAGATGGGCCCAGGACGCTGGGCTTGCTCCAGGCCAGGACAAGCATGCTGGGGAGCAGGCTTGATCCAGAATGGTCCCAGGATGGTCCCTTCATAGACCCACAGGACACCACTCAAGTGGTCAGGGGACAGAACACCAGCTGGAGGGCTTCTCCTTGCACTCCAGCATCTGCTGAAGACACCACCACCTCGTCCAGCAGTCGGGGCCGGCTGAGGCAGGTGGCCTCTCCGTGCCTCCTTCTCTGCCGCTGCTGTCACCGCCGCCGCAGACCTCGCCCGTGCTCGTACCTCTTGTCCCCCTGAGCGTTCTGGTTCTGCTGGGTTCCTGGGTTTTGCAGGTCAGGGATATTGGCAAAGTCATCCTGTTCCGAAAGCCCTAATACCAGGGATAGCACCACCATCCGGCCTTCCCTGCCCAGGATGGGCAGCCCACCAGCCGGGGTGAAAGGAGGTGGCCCCATGGACAGGGGCGGGGGTGAGGGGAGGAGAGAGACAGAAACAAAGAGAGAGAAGAGAAAAAGCATAAGAAACTGGCCCTGGAGAAAAGAAACCAATCTTCAGAACTGTAAATAGTTGAACTGAGGGGAAGGAGACAGGAAGGTCCAGCTGACCTTTGGGCCAAGAGCTGGAGTCCCTGGGGTAACATGGGAAAGGGGCTAGGCACAGGCCTAAGGAGAGGTTTTAGCTATCTGGGATAGTCCCAGGGAACACACAGGCTGGAGAGTGGAGCAGAGGCCCTAGGACATGGCATCCCCAGTTCCGTGGAAAAAGGAGAAAAGCCCTCTCAGTATCATGTATAGGGCTCGTGTAGGGAGGTTCAGGACATGGGGGAAGCACTATAGAATAGTCTGACATCCAATGGGCATTGCACACTGGGTCAATGAAGGGATGCCCTTTATAGATCTCTGGGTCATGGTCAACCAGGTGTCTTTGAAGCCAGCTAAACAGCTTCTTCCAGGCTTCCAGATCTACAGCCCATCACAGGAGATGTCCAATTCTGTTCCTTCTGGGATCTCAGGCATAGTGGGACCTCTCTCTTGTCCAGCTTCCCAGAGATTCAGAGAATGAACAGAGACCTCCAGGACCTGTTCAGTGGAGGCCTTTCCTCAGAGAAGCAGTTCTGAAGGCACCAGAAAACAAAGGTGGAGAGAAAGTACAGGAACTTGGCAAGGTCTGGAGAAGCTTTGGCAGGGCTGCAGGGAGCCTGTGCCTGCAGTGAGGTGCTGCTCTGAGGGAGGTGGGCAGGTACCAACAGGATGAGAGTGACTTGGAGAGAACGTGTAGGCAGCAGCATGGAGTCGGAGGCCACACAGGTATGGAGGCCTCCTCAGAGAACCACTTGACAACTGTGTGGGGCTTTGCTGGTGTCACCGGCACTTCCTGGAAGGAAATGCAAACTCTGGTGGCTGCTCTTTTGCAAAGCCATCAGAGTCTATGAGTTTGCAGGGGCTTTGTAGAGCTCAAGAGAACCCCGGTAGAGCACAACAGAACAAAGAGTTGAAGAAGGATTCTCAGACAGGGCAGGCATGAAAAGGCATGCCTCAAGAAGGGCCAAGGGAAAGACAGGGAGACTGACAGAATGTTCCAAAAGGGGGTTGTGGATCTTATGGCAGGAATCTGCCATTTTAGCCACTGATGGAAAGCAAGAGCTTCTGTGATTATTCCCCAGAGAGACTGTCAAAATGGGAACTCAGGCCAAATAGCATCTGGAGTGAGGGGCGAGGGCATAAGAGTTGTGGAAAGTGGGAGACGCCACCGGGGTCTGAGGGGCAGAAGCTAAGCACGGAGGTGTCCTTCTTCTTCCGAGTCTTTGTCTTGGGCACAGCCACATCAAGCTGACACTTGTGCTCCCATCGAACTTTTGGGGCTCAACTTTCCCCTTCCCTCAGGCCGGCCGGGATCCTGGCTTCTTTTGCTCCTGCCTATTGCTAATGTCTAAGTTGGTAAAATTCCATTTGGCTGTTCAGGAGCTAGTTGAGCTGGGGGAAGGTGAACTCAGTGAAAACACGTGTCCCCCCCCCCCCAACCAGTTAATGCATTTTTCAGATACTGCTTTTGGTCTTCTTTAAAAACCGAGCTGCTCCTCTGCATAAATACCCGGATTGTCATTCTCTGCAGCTTCGAAGGCCATGAGGGCAAGGATGAGGGGCGGAGCTGGACTTGGGGAAGTCAGGCTGGTCAGGCTGGTCTCAGGTAGGAAGGATGCACCCTCATGCCAGGGGAGGGCAAGTTCCTGCAGGGCCTGTATGGCCCTCTCGAGCTGCCTCTCAGCTATAAAGCAGCTAAACTGCAGGGCAGGGGTCGGCACACCTCAGCCTGTCAATGGTTCTGTACAGTCCATAAGCTAGGAATGGTTTCTGCAGCCTAAAAATATTAAGGGGAAAAAGAAAGCCTTGTGCAGTAGAGACTGACTGAGCCCTGCAAACCCTAAAGCATCTGGCCTTTACAGGCAGAGGATGGAACCCCTTACTGTGAGGGATAAATAGAAGATGCACTGAGCTTGGAGGTGGCCAGCAGGTAAGGGGGTATGAGAGCTGCTGTGGGGGCAGGAGTGTGGGCATGTGATGTTGGCATCTGAGCCATACCCCAGGATGCTGACATTTAAGTCATGCCCATCAGAATTCTGGTTGTTTAGGAAGATGGTGGGCCGGGAAGAGCTAGTATCTGGGCTCTTGCTGCTGGGGTAGCTTAGGCACAGGCCCTGGCCTAAACAACTGAAGCAAGAACAGGAAGAGGGTGGGCATTACTCCAGCATAAGGTCAGGTGGAGCCCAGCTGCTTCTCAGTTCTGTTCCTGCCACAACAGAACCAGATCCCTCGACCTCCTGCTCTACAGCACCCATTTCAGAACAATCCACTGCCGAGACAGAAGGCCTTCTGGACATCTTCTCTGGTGCAGCACTTGATTGCAATTCCCGAAGGCAGCTGGACAGGCTTCCCCAATTTCCCAGGGGCAGCCTGGGGCAGAATGGCAGGTGGACTACAGCACAGGCCTCTTGCAACCAGGTGTGGGCAGCTAGTTCTGTTGGAGGGCCTTTCCGAGGCATGGTTCGTGTCTGCCTGGGAGCTCTGGCTGGGCTCTCACACCGATACTACATGCTTTGAGAAACTTGCTTGCCTTCTGGAAGCCCCGTATCTTTCCAGTGAGCTCTGCCTTGGCCCCAAGGTTCTCCTCTTCCTCTCAGAGGAAGGTGCTGCCTTATGCCTGAGAAGTATCCCAGGGAAGACCTGGGTGGTGGTTATGACCCCACTCCCAGGGCTAGAACAAGGCTCATAAGCCCATACCTCTCAGCTCCTAGAGTGACTGTTCCTGTGAGGGTGGGGTAGTAAGCAAGCGCCAGGGAAATGGTTAAGGTCAATGGCTTCTGACCTTGGTGTTGCTTCTCCAAGCTGGGTCCTTGAGAGAAATGCCATCCTTGGCAGCTTTGGGGGTGTGGCTCAGGTTTGTCTTCGGGGAGCAGGGGTCATTATGATAGGGCTGAGGTCAGAGATGGATGGACAGGGAAACAAAGGAGCGGGGATGCATGGGGCAGAAAAGTCAGCAGAGTCTGGTTACAGAGAAGGAGGAACACTGGAGGGAGGACTGCAGGGCTCTGGAGATTTAGTGACAGGGATGGGTTGGGGAGAGGAGGAGGGAAGGGCAGAGTGAGGCAAGGCTGGCACAGTGACAAGAGCAGCTGGGGACTGATGGGGGGGTTAGGTCTTAAGGAGCTCCAGAGCACTTTGTGTTCTCACTAAACTCTGGGATGGGGGTGGGGGTGGGCTTCTCTTCTCAAGCCTCAGAGGCTGTGAGGGAGATGGAAAGTTCTCAGAGTTCCAGGGGCTCTGATACAAATACTTTTATGCTGGGGCTCAGGATATAAATCACAAAAGGCTGGGGAGGAGGACCTTCCAAACCTGCCAGCCTGTCAAGAAAATGGAGGAACAAGAGTGTCCGGCTCCAACTGCTCCCTCTTTTGGGGGGGAAAGAGGCTGGGTGGGGGAGGTGGGGAGCTGCCCCGCTCAAGGGGAGGACTTACAGGAAGGATTTCATGTCCAAGCCTCGGTTTCGAATCTGCCCCACCACGTGGTCCCAGCTGCCTGGGTTGGAGCGGCTGCGGCCCCCAGCTGCCCGGTACTTGGAGCCGGCTGAAGTGCCCTGCCGAGCCTGACCCCGACCATAGGCCCGGGGGTTGGAGCCCGGTGCTGAGGCCGCGTGGGCCTGCAGCTGGCCCAGGCTCTGGCTGGTGGTGGGCTGGCTGGGCTGCCGGCCCCTCTGGTTCTGGCTCAGCGGCTGCTGAAGGCTCTGCTGCCGCATCAGTGTGCGGGGTCGCTGGCATTTCGGCTCTCCCGCGGAGCTGGGGATAGACTCAAGGGTAGTGGCCGTGGACAGGGTGGAGTCCTCGAAACTTGGGGCGGGTGGAGGAGAGGAGAGAAAGGAGAAGCAGGTGAAGGGATCACAGTGGAAGAGAAAGAAGCCGAGGGCCAGGGCTGGGAGGCCCCAGTGCAGGGCACGCTCGGCTGGACCTCGCCAGGCCTCCATCGGAGTTGTCACTGCTGCAGTCGCTGCCACCACTTCACCCACCCTAAGGTCCCCAGGCTGGCCCCACCCACCCACCTCTGGACTTAGCTCGCTGGCTCCCCAGTACCTCTGTCTGGGCCGACCTCTCTGCCGGTCTGAGTGGGCCGCAGGAGCTGAAGCAGCTGCGTGGTGAAGGCAGGTCCCCAGGGCCCTATGACTGTCTGTCATGTTGGAATGGGAGGGGCAGGGAGCTGCTGACACCCCTCTGCCATCTCACTAGGGGGCACTAGAAACAGCTGCCTCTGTGTTCTAGGTACTACTGCCCTTTGGAGACAGAAAAGAAATCCAGGCCAGCACAGAGTTGGCCTAGTAATGGCTGGGGAGGCAGGGCAGCCATTCCTCATACTTTGCTGGAGAAGAAGGGAAGGCAGACTCCCACACAGAAGCCTGCCCTGTGGCCAGAGCAGCCTTGGGATTCAGTTCTGGGGCAGATCTCTAACTTCCTCCTAGGAGATCCTACCCTGGTACCTAGGGAATGATTCCCACTCAGAAGTGGGGACCAAAGAAAGAGCACACAAGATCGGGGAGTTCCAAGAGCCACTGGTCTGGCTTCACGCTAATTCTGACTGACAGTGAGCTATCCCATATTTTGCATTTAGAAGAATGCCTGTACACTGGCCCACCAGCATCTCTAAACACGCTGGGCAAAACAGGGCAAGGACAGACAGGAAAACAGGGCCTGGCTGGTGAGAGGTGATGTAGAGCCAGCGAGACCTGGGTTTAAAGCTCACCTCTGCCATTATTAAGTGGGCAACTTTAGATGAGGTTTCACACCTCTTCAGGCCTTAGTTTCTGCTGTAGACAGAGAGTATAAAACAGCCCTTTAGTGGCCTTCCTCAGAACTGAGGTCAGGCCTATACCACTAACTGCTCCCATGCCAGGGCTTGGGAGAGGAGTTTGTGATTTTCCTTAAGCTTTTGTGTTTCTGCCTGTTTTGTGCTCTGACCAGAGATCGACTCTGGTTAGCAACTCCCACAACAGGACTGGGGCAAGCTGTCCCTCAAGTACCAGGGAGGCAAATTAGTCACTGTGTTGAACACCTCCGAGCAAGGGTCTGAGGCTCCAGCTTCCTCGTCCTTTCCAACCTAGTTGTCTGGAGTGGGAGGCAGTGAACTATGACCTGTAAGCTGGATCTGGCCCACTGCCTGCTTTTATAAATAAAGTTTTACTGGAACCCTGCCACTGGCATTTGTTTACATTCCATCTGCTTTTCTGCTACAACGGCAAGGCTGAGCATTGTGAAAGATGTGGCTTGGCCAGCAAAGTCTAAATATTTCCTAGATGTCACTTGGCCCTTTACAGAGAGAGTTGGTCCACTCCTGCTCTAGGGCCATGGGATAGCCAAGTAAATCCTGGGAGTAGTAGGAGGAGGCCTCAGGGCCCTTGGAAGCCACGTTCACCACAGCAGCCAGACCTCAGCCATGCTCACCCCCTGAACCTACTCTGGGAACCAAAAGACAACAGTTAGGTGGCCCCTGTGGAGTGGGCAGAGAAAGAGAGGGGGAGAGAGAAAAAAGGAGAGAGAGAGAGAGAGAGAGAGAGAGAGGACAGAATGAGAAAAGAAAGCAAAACGTGGTTGTAGCTGGGGTTCTAGGCAGGCAGCAGCTGGCCTGACTTGGGCTGAAAATCAGGGCTCTCTCCAGGGCAGGCCAAGGTCTGGCGAGCCTTGGTAGGTCCACAGCTCAATGGGGTGGGGAGGCAGGCCAGCTGGGGGAGGGGCACACATCATCCTCTCTGTCTCCTTGCCGACCTCATTTCAGTTTCCTATCACATCCAAAATTAGTCCAATTTACAATCTTTCAGTCACAGGAAACTAAAACTGGATCCTCCAGGCCTGAAGCCAGTAAGTGGATGCCATGGAACCCAGTCAACCTAGAGACTGGATGGGGCAGCCTGGGGATGCGGGAACTTGGCTCTTTGATGGGATGTGAGGCATCCATGTCTAGAGACATTCCTGAGACCATGTATCAGGAAGAAATGGACTTGTGTCCACTTGAGGCAATAAGCAAATGCAGCCTCAACCTGCTAGCCCTCTGGTCTTGATGGGGGGTGGGTCTTCTGAAGAGAACCAAGAGGGCCCTGAATTGAGCTGGGGAGCCCAACACTAAGAAGGTGTCAAGGCTGTTGGCCTTTTAAGGGGGGAGGGCTATTTCATTGACTGGGAATGAGATAGTGTCAACAGTTCAAAGTGGAACCACATTCAAATATTTGAGGTGTTTGCCCTTGGTTCAGAGGATCTGGGGCCTGCAAAAGCTCTGCTGTGGGGAGACCGGAAATTCTTAAAGCCAAGAGGAGAATAAGGTTGCCTTAGCAGGAAGACAGATCATGCTTGCGTTAACAGTCCATGGCTGCTTGGTAAGCCCGGGCAGCCCTTCCAAAGGGACAGCTCTCCTAACCACCCCCTGACATCTGAAAGGAGCTGCTTGCTTGGGCTCAACAGTCTCAACCCTCAAGAACTCCCAACCGTGGGACAGCTCACTGACCAAGACAGGGCCAGCCAGTGGGGATGGCTGCAATGAGATGAACATTTGGGGCAGCCTGGTTGCTGCTCATAGATGAAACCCTGTGGCAGATGGCGTCATGGCACAAGCAAGGCTGGGACAAGCAGATGAAGTCGTTCAAAATGAATGGCTCAAGGTTGGGTCCAGAGCCATCAGCTGGCCAAAAGAGGAAAGGCCCTCTGGCTGATGAGTGTGTAAACTCAGGGAGAGATGGGCCTGCTCCCTAGGAATGGGATGGTCCCATGGTGGGACAACTAAGGGCTTGTTGCCCACAGAGGGATGGCTGAGATGGGGTGGCCAGTCAAAGAGGATGGGATGGCCCAAGGACTGGAGTGAAGCTGTTCTGGGGACAGAGAATGGAATGACCTGGTCACTGGCAAAGGAAGATATTAATGGGAGGCTGCCAGAGGCCTGAATGTGAGAGCATATGGCTGAGTTGGTTGTGCCCAATGGCGAGGACGATGAAAGAGTCTCGTGAAGGGATGGAATGAACCAGGGGCCGAGGACGGCACCTCTGGGGGCAGCAGCAGGCATGCCAGGGGTCCAGCTGTCCACCCTGGTGGGGGCAGGCCTGAGCTCACGGCTCTGGCAGCCATGGGGTGCCATCACTCACTTGGACAAGTTGAGCTTCCCTGCGGCCAGGTGGCTCTGCACCATCCGCCATCGGCCTCTCCCCGCCTTGCCACTGCTGCCCGGCTCGCTGGGGGCAGCCCCGCTGCTTCTCAAGGCGTCCTCTCCGGGTGGTGGCACCGGCGCCGGCTTCTCCCCCAGCCGGCCTTCCCGCTCCACCGCCAGCCCCGCCGCTGCAGTGGCCACTTTGGCGCCTGACAGGAGGGTGCCACTGGAGGCAGGAGGCAGCCAGGCCAGCAGAGGAGCACCGGGGGTGGCGGTGGGGGAGAGAGGGCAGGCCACACATGGGGGTGGGGGTAGGGGGAGAAGAGGAAAAACATCGACAGATAAAAGGAAGAAAGAGACAGTGAGAGAGGAGGAGAGAACAGACGGACAAGAGACAGACAGAGAGAAAGAGAGACATCAGCACTGCAAATGGGTTAACAGTGGAGCCTGCAGAGGAGAGAGGGGACCGGGCGGGCTGGGGTCAGAGAACAACGCACCACGACAATGGAGGGGGCCCCTCCCCACCGCCTAGGGCAGGAGCGGTGGGGGTTGGGGGAGGGCAGCCACCTCCAACTCTATCCCACAGGACAACGAAGGGTTAACGACGGAGGAAGAGCGGGCTGTCCAGGCCAGGAGGCCCCCAGGCAGGGAGAGAGAGAAAGCCGTGTTAGTCAGAGTTCATCACCACCACCACCACCATCACCGCCACCACCGCCACGAACCACCGACCACCGACCACCGACCACCAGCAGCCACGGCCGCAGCACACAGCGGGGGAGGAAAAAGCGAGCCACAACCGAGAGGGAGGGACCAAAACGGGCAACCCCATCCTGACTGCACAAGAGGGTGGGGAGCCAGGGGGCGTGGTTGGGAACTAGGTTGTGGCTGCGGAGGGGGCTCTCCTGCGTGGCTGGCCCTGGGGGAGGTCACAGGAGAGGAACAGGCAGGCGAGGGGGCAGGAGGGGTTGCTCGTCTCCATGGTCAGCCTGCCCATGGGATGAATGGAGGGGAAAGTGGAAGGAGAGGAGCAGGAGAGGAAGGGGGGGCCAGGAGAAGGGAAGGGTGGGTCGTGCGCAGATACTCAGTACATATGATCAAACCAGGTAAAGTCACTCACTTGAGGGACAGTCGAGGGTCGCCATAAGGGGCGTAGGGTGAAATGTTTAGAATAAACTCCTTGGGAGGATAGGAACTCCATTTCTGCTGCACTGTGCTTTCATTGTTATTCCAAAAGTCTCTGTCTAGGTCGCTGGAGGGGCAGAGAGAGAGGGGAGAAAACAGGGAGATACAAGAAGAGACCAGAACTGCAAGTCCTGCAGGGGCAGAAGGGACAAGAAGGGACGTGGGGCCCCTGGGGGCACACAGAGGGTGGGGCCTCGAGGGTCTGCTCCTGCAGAGGAAGAAAGGCAGGAGGGCGGATGGGCGCTGCAGCCTGGGCCAGGCACCCTTACACTCACACATCAGTGTAGGCGCGCGCACACACACTCTCATACAAACACACATGCACTGGAAGGCTGGCCAGGGAAGCCGCAGAGGAAGGAAAGAAGCTGCAGGCAGGCAGACAGGAGAGCCTCGTGCCTAGGAAGCTGGTGGGAGAGAGAGAGACCATGAGAGAGGAGGGAGGTCGGGATGGGGTTGGGGGTGGCAGGCAAGGCCTGGATGGCAAAGGGTACGCTGGGAGAAGGGGGAAGGTGCTAGTTTAATGTCAGAAGGTGCTGGAAGGTAGGGCAAGTCTTGCTGCTGGTAGCTGGCCCTGTCTCTCTCTCTCTCTCTCTCTCTCTCTCTCTCTCTCTCTCTCGCCTCCATTTCCCATCAAAGGAGAAGACTGGCTTTTCTCCTTCTCACATCTTCTCTCCAGTGGCCTAACACATCCCCTGGCCTCCTCCTACTTCTGGTGAGGCTGGAATACAGGGTTTCCACGAGACTGGGTGAGCAGAAGGCTCCACTTGATTGGGCCAGTTGGGTGAGGCCTCCAGACGAGGGTAGCCTGGCCTCTGACCTCACAGAGGCTGTCATCAAGATCCTTTGTTCTGGGGCCTGTGTGGAAGGAGTCTGCTCTTCTGTCAGTGGGGCCAAGAGTAGCTGCCCAGCCTCAGTCCCACAGCAAACGCTTGGCCTGGCCTGCTGGGAAGCTTTCTCGTGCTTCTGTCCTTTTTAAAGGTGAAGCTGCTGGATTTAAAAGGAACCCTCACCCAGGTCTACCACCCCTCCTTCTGGGTGACTTGTCCTTCTCAGCTGACATGCTCAGAGCATAAAGGATGTAGTGTTCTAGGGTGGGTGGCAGAATCCTGGGCTCCTGCAGGATTCGACCTGGATGTCAAAAGACTACAGACAGCTTGTTAACTTCCTGGGCTCCCAATGTAACAGATGGAGTTGGGCACAGAGGGAGAGGGGTAGCTCCCAGGACACAGGACCATTCTAGAAGGAAGCCATGCATGGATGACACGAATGCTGCTGGAGTTAGGGTCTAGGGCCTGTGTCCCTGCTTAGGTGAGGTGAAGCATGGCTAGGGGCCTGGCATCGTGGAGGTACTGTCCCCTAAGAATCAACTGTCCCCAGGGGAGCTGCTTCTTGTGTCCCTGAGAGTTAGATCTTGACCTGGGTACTCCATCCGAGACTCAGGAATGAGGAATAAAAAAATAAAAAAAAAGATGAGAAGTTGGGCTGCCGCCATGAGCCCAAATAAGATGGTGGACTTGATTATCCCTGGCAATAGTCACTAGCTATCTAAATACACGTTAGAATGTCTCATAGGAGAGTCTATACATGAAGTTCAAGTCCCGGCCCAGAGCCAGCTCACAGAGGCAGTCGGGGCAATGGGTAGGAGAGGGAGGCAGGATAGTCTCCAGTGGGAAATGCTCTCACTATAAAAAAAAAAATCTCACACCCATCAGAGATACTCTTTTGGTACCACTCCCCAGGAAGACCTTGCTTGGATGGAGACTCTCTGCATCAGGAGTTAAAGGGATGCAGCAAGTTGGCAGTCTCCCTTCTCATGCCCCCTCCAGGTCTCCATCCAATCTAGGTCCTAGAGGAAAAGATTCACTCAGTATCATTGCCCTGATGTCCACCCTGAGTCATGGGACCACTTGGATTTCTACCATGGTGCTGGAAAAGAAGATGCTCTCATAAAAGAAAGTTGGGAAAACTGGTTCCTTTACTGCAGATCTTTTTAGAGTCTTAAATGTGTCAATGGCCATCAGTATCACCTAAAGGGAGATTGGGTGTGCAGTGTTCCCCAGACTCAGCTGGCTGTGAACCTGTGGATGTGTTAATCATTTCTGAGGCACAGGTGCTCCAAGGAACACAGTTTGGGAAAGCGCTGCTGAAGACTGCAGTGTTCCAGAACCCTTGACAACATGATTCCTTTGGAGGAAGTCCTAAGCCCGTAGAGAGCTGTGCAGTAGATAAATTGCCCAGGATGGGGAATACATGATCACAGACATGAGTACTGGCTTCTATGCTCAGGGCAGAGGGTCTGGCAGGTGGAAGTAGGCTCAGATAGCCCTTCATGTGGAAGCAGGCTCAGGCTGTGGACCATGGAACTACAGGGTATCAGAGGGGCAATCTGCCCTTATCGTGCCTTACAGAGAGCCCTTTTGGGCCCTGGCTGTAGCCTGCTTCCTGCCTTGATGCCCTCCTTTCCTCTTGCTGTCTAGAGGAGGACCCTTTTTAGAATGCCTGCCTTGTCATGCGTGTCACTGTCTAGGAAGGTTATGATCACTTGTCCTCACCTGGAGCTTCAAATAGCCCAGATTGGAAGTGGCCTCCTGCTCCCCCTCACATGATCCTCAGCCCCCTTCTTCAGAAAGCTGTGTTCTTCAGAGCCTGTGTTCTGCAACAGTCCCTGAGTCCCACCAGCTCCTGTCTTTGAAGACTAGAGCGTGTGCAACCAAACTGAGCTTCAAAGACTCCCCGTGGTCTCCTTCTGAGCCTTCCACCCACCCAAGCCCTCAGTTGGCCCACCCTTCTATTCATCCCCCACCTCAGACAACCAACCCACAACTTCTGTGAAAGCCCCAAACAGGGTCAGAGCAAGAGATGAAAAAAGAGGAGGGGCAGGGAGGGAGCCCTCAGGAATGGACAGGGGAGCCAGGGGAAGAATGAGAGATGCAGGAGGGCAAGGGTGGGCAGGGGAAGGGGCAGGGAAAGTGGAGGGCCTAGAGCTGACAGGGGAGGGGTACAGGTAGGGCTGGGGGGCTCAGCTTCCAGGCAAAGCCCCTTGGCCAGCAGGCTTGATCCCATCCGGGTTAGAGTGGAAGAGGGGCTGGACAGGGCTCCCTGTGAAGGCCTGGTTTCCATGGAGAGCAAGGTGGAGAAAGCTCCATTCTCAGAGCCTGAGTCCTAGGTAGGCCTGGGGTTCTCTATTGTCATCCAGGGACTCACAGCAGAGAGCTGGCCAAGGTGGTCTTGTTCTATGGACTAGGCTCTCAGATCTCAGTAGGGAACCCTAGTCAGAGTACAATCAGTAGATCTGAAGGGGGGCAAGATGCAATAGGAAGGCAGAGCCTCTCCCCACGGGCCTGATTCCCTGGAGCTCAGCACTGAGGCTGGCTGGGGCCCTCACGGTTTGTCTCCCACTCTTTCTACGTTGCCCTTGGATCATGAGTGGAGTGGAGTGTAAAAAAAGAAACCCAGCCTATGAGGAGCCAAGCCCATTAGTAAGGTCCTGGAGAAGAGGCTAGAGGGTCCAGGGGCCTGCCAGTGCGGTGAGGACGGTGCGTGTGGTATTAAGAGTTGGATGGAAGAATCATCATAGCACATACAGAGTTCTGAGTGAGAGGCAGCCTTAAGGCTGCAGTGTCCAAAGTGTCAGGGTCTGGGGCATAAGCAGAAAAAAGGGGGCCCTGGCGTCATTCAGGGTTCTGAGACCGAGGGAGTGGGACTAGCCATGGCCTCAGGGAGTGAGAGAGATATTAGATATATGTGTAGACAGGTCTGAGGATGGGGAGAAGGGGCTTCTCCCATTTGAACTATCTGTGTACCCCCCAAGCTAGCAGCCTGGCACCTACTTGATGGCTTTCTTCTCACCGCGCCCACGCCCAGAGTCTGGCGTGCCCACCGTCTCCAAGGAGTTCTTGTAGCGCTTGCCCTGTGGAGACAGTATCAGGGTTACTCCTGAGGGAGTGAGAGCTGGACATTCCCCATGTCCCCAGAACAGGGTCACTAGGGGAGAGGAGAAACTAGAATTTAGATTATCAACAAAGCCCAGAGTCAGTGTGAGGGACTGTTGTCACTGTGGGGTACCTGTCCTATGGCTGGCCCCCTGTGGGTTCTAGGACCTGCTTTTACCTACAAGGGATCCTTCATTCCCGACCCTCAGGTATCAGGCCATCCTGTCTGCGTGTCTCCTGGGCCTCTGGCCCAGCTCCCAGAAACACAGTTCCCTCTGCCATGGACAGACGGCTCTCAGGCGCCTGGCCACGTCACAATGTCCACGTCACCACCCCCAGATGGTGGGGGCGGCATCCTGCAGGGCAAGGTTGGCAGTGGCCAATGACGTGAGTGGCGGGGGTGGGGAGCAGGCCACGTGCCTGGGCCTGCCAGAGTTGTTGGTCACTGCCTGGGGACTCCCTGGGGTCCTCATGCCCTAGGGCTAGGAGGGAGGGACAAGGCCTCTAGATAATTTTGGGAAGCGAGAGTATATCCTGATTCTGGGGGCTCCAAGGCAGCCTGGCCCCTGGACAGCCCCCTGAGTTGCTTAGCCCAGTGTGGGCAGTAAAGAGGCAGGGCAGGGTGGGCACCCTAGGTCCACCAGTGCAAGGAAGAATAGCTACGGCCAGGCCTGCTGCTGGGAAGGTGAGCACCATTCACCTTCTCGGTTTGGGTTTCTAAATTTAGCTCATGCAGAGCCTGGCCCCATTAACATTCCTGGCTGCCACCAAGCGTCCTCACGAGCACCCCACGGGCCTCGGGCCTGGCCAGGCCCCAGGTTGGTGCAGGCAGTTCGAGGATACAGGCTGGACAGGGACCAGGTCTGCCCTGCAGCCTCCTTTACCACTAGGTACTAACTGGCCCTGACCTAGCAGAGTGAGGACAGACAGAAACACAGACATACAGACAGGCATGTATGTTTCAACATTTTCTCAATGTGCATCAACACTGCAGCCATAAGATTATTCCATCCTTTCAAAGAGAATAAGAGCTGCCACAGCCATGTTTCCACATGTCCCCGCCAGCTGCAGCCCCTTCCTGGCCATGGGGATCTGGAGGAAACTACAGCAAAGCTCCCAGAAGTATGTGGGGTGCAGAGTCCTCTCTCCATTTTACCTGCAGTACCTCTGTTTTTCAGGGAACCTTGATTTGGCCTCAGTAAGGCCACAGGTGCCCCACGTCACCTTGGCCAAGACTTCTCGCCTCTTTGACCTCTCTTTCCTCCCTCCTGGAATAGTCTGATGTCACCATGTGGGTCATCACCTGGAGAAGAGACTCTTGATCCCAGACACCATCAAGTTCTCTGTTTATTTGTGTCAGCTCCTATAGCCTGGTGCAAAGCCCCACAAAAGCAAGGCTGTTCACTCTCCAGCACCTGGTACCTACAGCTAGTTCACAGCACCAACTGGAAGTCCCTTCTATTTCCCCATCCACACAGGGGCTTGGGCCTCAGGCTGTTTCCCTGAGCTCAAATCTTCAAATTCAAACATAGAGATGCTGGGCTCTCCAGGCCTACTGAGCCACACTCCCTCACCTTTCTCTGGTTTCTACCATCATCCATTACTTAAGAGGTTCAAATCTCAAACCATTCCCAACACTGATGGGGGCCATCAGGGGCTGGGCCATGCTGTGGTCACCAAGGGCTATTTTCGGAAGGACCTTAGGTAGGAGCCAGAGTCACACTCATTCCCAGCATCTGGGCAGTATGGGGCTGGGCCTTTCCGAGGGAAACCTTGGAAATTCCTCCACTGTCTCCTCTTTCTTCTGGGTACTGGCAGGAGAGCTAGCCTCGGCTAGCACCCTCTTCCAAGGATGCCCAGCTGCCCCCTTCTCAAGCTCAGGCAAGACTCTGGTTGGTGATCTTGATGGCCCAGGGCATTTGGGAGAGATTCTGCAGCTCAGAGAGCCTTTCCTGCTGACTTCTGTAGCAGGAGCCAGGGTGCTCGCTATGTGGGACAGGACCCAGGGCAGGAGTGGGCTGGGGAAGGGAGAATTTCAAAGGGCAGCACAAATCACAGAAAACCCAGGCAAGGTCCAAGAGATACAAGATGGCTTGAGAGGAGCCCAATGGCACTAGCCAACTTGTGAGGGAGGGGCTTGCCCCAGGATGATTCGGAGAAAGCCAGCTAAAGATTAAGGAAGTTATTAATGTTTGGAAATGGGATCTAGGTTGTCAAGGTGTCATGTCACTGGAGCTGAGGGGACAGGAAGGCAAGGAGAGCCCAGCTGCTGTTTGTGAAGATAGCATTTAAAGCTCCTTCTAAAGACCACGGAAACAGCCTGGGTAAAAAGGGTCCTATCATGGGAAATCCAGGATGCCAGGAGTTTGGAGTGGCATGACTGGGGTGAGGGTGGGGCACTGAGAAAGTGATGTTCTATGAAGAACAAGCCTAGAGAGACAGACTGTGATCTAGGGCCCTAGGAAGGTTGCTGGCTGGAGGTTATAGTGTGGTCAGGCCAGAAGAAAATGATGGTTCTGAAGCTCCTAGGTGCCCCAGGCACTCAGCGCTGGAAGTCCCCACCCACTACAGACCTGTCTCATACTCTGTTCCCATGGGAGATGAGGCCATTAGTACTCTGGTCTTTGAAAGAGTGCCTTCACACGAATACAGACACATTCAGAATGGCTCAGTGCATATGCGGGAGAGACTTGGACATGGAGCAGACCTCAGTTATACAAAGATCTAACAAAATGATACATATCCCCTGCTCAGTGCGTGTGTGTGCGCGCGCGCGCACACACACACACACACACACACACACACACACACACACACACAGCATTACCAGCTCACACAGTCTTCTTCCTCTGCCTTCAAACACAGACAGGCTGTCTAACTGGTCCTACAACAGGGCGACAAGGCACACACCAGGCTGCCCTGTGTGCACAGCGGCCATTTCCATGGTCTCAGAAGACACTGGTTCTCGGGACACAAAGCCCAACTCCCTCTAGTACCTTCCATGGAATTTTGAAGCAGATACAGTGGACCAAGGAACAATGGAGGGCAGCCAGCTGGCTCACACACCTGTCCATAGCAGGAGCTGGGTCACACTCACACACAGGGAGCTGGGCCTGTGGTTCTTCCCCAGGGGTGGGAGCTGCCTGTCAACAGTCCAGAATGGAGAGACTCACACGGTAAGTGAACTTGACCCTCTTGAAGGAACCACGCTGGGTTACCAGCTCCTTAGGTTCCCCATGGTCTCCTCAGCAGACCTCAAACCCTTTCCCGAAAGTACCTACCCATTCTTTTCCTGTATGGGTTTGGGGTATACATCCCCTACCCACTCAGGGTCTACGATTTAGCTTTCAGCCTGTCCTATGATTCCTCTGTGGATGCTGCCCCCAACCATCCCATTCTGAGCTGGAGGTGGGGGTGGGCATGAGGGGTAGAGGGTGCCTGATCCCTGTCTGCACCTGGGACATCTCGGGGCTTCTATGGAGATTGCTCCCTGTAGCCCTCACATTCACACTGCACTACTGAGCAGGGTGCTAGGTAGGACTGAAGATCTGAAGGGCCGCATGGGGTCCTGCGGACCGGCAGCACTTGCCTAGCTGCAGAGTTCGTGCTGAACCGGTGGCTCACAGCTCTCCCTCCCGGCGCCCTCGGGTGATGAATGTCTCTCCTGACAGTCTCGTTACTTATTGATAGCCTAATCCCGCTCGTTAATTCCCCAGCCCTCGTTAAAAATGAAAAGAAGCCGTTTGTGCTTGTACAAACCAGGAGAATCAGGATGGATGTGCAGGAGGCTGGGAGGTGGGGCGGGACGGGCGGTGCCTCCTCATTGGTCAGAAGCGATGAGACTTGACCACGCCCTCTGGGGGCGTGGGGAGGGAAAGGAGGGGTGGGACGCACCGCGGTTCCAAGGGCTTCAAATTCTCAGTCTACGCGTGTGTGTCTGCAGTTCTTTATGCATGTGAGCGCACGCGCCTGTGTAATGAATGCTCTTGCGAATGTGTCCCCTTGTGTGTGTCTCCGAGTGTAAAAAGATGTATGGGACCAAGACCCAGGCAAAGGAAGGGGGGTGAGTATGTGCGAGCTTGTGGTGCGAAGTTCTGCGCACACATCCCTGACTGTGGGCAGACAGGTCTTTTTAAGCGTTCCACAGAATTCAGACGCCAGTGATTGCAGTATGGAAGGGTGCAGGGTCAGGCCCGGCCCCAAAGGGTCTCCCAACAAGAGCCTCACCAGTTTGCGCTGACACCAGTGGCACAGGCCGCAGAGGACGATAGTGACGCTAAGGCTGACGGTGATGATTGCAGAGACCAGCAAGACATCGCGGGTGGGCGCCCCTGAGGAGGACACACACAGTCAGAGAGCTTTATGGGCCAGGCCAGGGCCACTTTCAATCTTAGAGGCCCCGGAATGGACACCCTTCCCTTCTCTCTGGCACTTTGCACGCCCAGCTTTGCTTTTTCTGCCTGAACCTGGGAAGTCCCTCCCGGCTCAGCGCCCCAGCTTCTTTGTCAATACAAATGGAAGAAACACATTGCTTGGTGATTCTGTGTAACCTTCTGAACATTTACTCTTTCAAAGGGAGAGGACACACGTGCCCCTTAGGTGCATCAAGGAGTCTGGAAGAGGCACAGCTTCTGTGTGGCCTTCTTGTGCTTTCACATGCCACACCCAATTCGGAACAGCAAAAGGGCCCAAAGGCCATCTGCCTTCTGAGCACCTTCTGGCTCCCTTAAGGGCTTGGCCAAGACCCAACAGTGGCAGGTGTAACCAAAAGGGGGTATCTGGAATCTTCTGCCCATATTAACTCAACTTCCCTTGGCTGGAAATCCTCTCCTGGTTTCTGCTCCATCCTAAAACACCAGACTTGCTTTCAGCCTTCTCATGCCTGTTGGCTCCAGCTTCCTCAGCATTATTTGCAAGGTCCCAGAAGCTCACAAGAGCTACTTGAAGCTTCCATCTTAAGCATTCCGGGGTCTCATACTTGAGGGGCAGAGACCCACTGAGGAAGGAAAACCCCAGGTTTCCGCACAGATACTTTTCCCTAACCATGGCTCTGGATAAGTCGTATGAGCTCAGTTTTCTCCCCTGGAAATGCATATTTAACAGCCTTCCCTGTCTTCCTCACAGGGGGTTGTAAACATTAGCCCAAAACAAATGTATAGAATGCAAAACCTGGACCAAAAATGACCATGTGGGGGAGTGAGCAGAGAAAAAGCAACAAGGAGCATGCATGAGCTCTAAATATGTGTGCACTGGGATGTGTCCTAAATCAAGAAGATGCAGTTTATTTACAGAGGAGCCTGCATGGGCTTCTTGGTGCCAGTGATTGTGGTAATTAAGAGTTGACGATATCTGTCTGGTCCGGGTTCCTGTGGTTTTTAGCTTCTGCCTCTCTTCTCCTCTGGGCCTCTCCTGCATAGAGGCGTCATAGACGAGGGCTCAGTGATCCCTCTCAGCTCTCAGGACCCTCAGTGTCCAACCACCATCACTGCAGCACCCTGGGGAGTCTGTTTACTCCCCCATTCTTTCTAGGAGGCTGTTTGGGTCAAACCAACTTTCTAAGACCTCCCAGGAAATGTCACCCTCACATAGCCCTAAGCAACCCACTACCTGCCAGCCTACAGTTCTAGACCAACGGTTCATTCCTAATCACAGGAAACACTTTATTGCAGCAACCATGGGCTTTGCTCTGATCCTGCCCTATGGCCACGAACAAGCCTTTGATGACTGTGACATCAGCGTCACATATGTGAAAGAGGTTCTTTACCTACAGGAACAACTTCATCCCCATGGCAACAAACGAGATAAAGATTAACTTAGTTTCACTGTACAGACAGGGTAACTGAGGCTTAGAGGGCTCTGATAACATGTTCAGTCACTGAGCTAGTGGTTGAGAACTGAGGTTCAAGCCCAGACAGTCTGGCTCAGAGTCCATACTCTTTGCCTTGGATATTGGTTGGTGGTTCCCAAAGTGTGTTCTTTGGAACACCTAGTGTTCACTGGACTCTCTTGGGGGCTGTAGAAGTAGATTCTAAGCAGAGAAGGCTGAAGCCCTCTTCAATCAAATCAGCATCATTTCCCTTGGCTTTACATCTTGGGCTTTTGTAGAAAATTACATTTGAAGGAGGGGAGGCTGAGCAAAGTTGAATCCTTCTGGAATGGTGGCTCTAGGGTCTCCTGCAGTGTGGATGCTATTATCTTTCAAGGAGCTGACTCCTCCCCAACAAGATCCCTCAGCCCCCTCAGCATCCTTCACACAGCCCTTGAAGGCAGGGTGAAACAAGTGCTTGCCATTACAAATTGCACTGATGTTGGGAATAAAAGTGACAAGATGTCCTTGGCCAGCATGCCCTCAAGTGCTGTTACCATCAAGGGGCACAAGCCTGTTCTCGCCTGCCAGCCTGAAAGAACCATTCCCGGAGGATGGAGTCACTGTGTCCCTGGGCTGCAAGGGACCTTGGAAGTCACAGAGTCAGGCCCCATGATGCATGATCCCCTCTAGATAGCCCTGGTGGTGACAGGGAGCTGCTCCTGCAGGAGGCTGGCTTTCCTGCAGACACCACTGAGGAGGCTGCTGTGGCTTGCGCTGAATCCAATCTGTCTCCCTGGAACTCGCAGCCACGGTCCTCAGCCTGCCCTCTGGGCTGCTCTGCCGCATGACAGGCCTCTGAATCCCTGCCGACAGTTCTCGTGTCCCCTTCAAGTCTTCTCCAGGCAAAGCCGCCCTGGCTCTTCTATCCCTTCCTCAGATGACATGCATGGTTTCAAGTCCCCTTATTGTCAGCACATTAACATTTGAGGAAAGGAAATGTTGCAGTCCTAGTCAGCCTATGCCCAGGGCGGAGTTCCACGACCTCTCCTTGGGCAGAGGAGACATCCTGGGTCCCCAGGGGTGAGACACAGACAAGGGCAGACAGATGACATTGGGAGACTTGGGAGGCAGGGCAAACTAGGAACTAAGCAGACACAGCCTGCTGGGCCGATTGTAGGGGCGTCCAGAGAGGAGGTGTGGGCTCAGGCTTATTGCTGCCCCTCTGCCCAGGCCTGTGCTGGCCGTGTCATCACATGGGAACTCAGCATTCATGATCAAACTGATTCCTACCTTCCTGCCCACACTACCCCCAAGCAAACCTCAGAGAAAGAAGGACCAAGGAGGTGGTCCCCTTCTGAAGGGGCCCAGCTGCCCATGCATAGAACTCTCTAGCAGGTCAACTCCATGGCATTGGCTAGGAGAGGCAAAGATTGATTCTTTAAGTAATGCTATTCCATCATGGAGGCTGGAGCCTAGAGCCTAGAATATAGTAGGTGTTCAATAAATACTTGTTGGAAGAATGAATGAGGAAGACTCCCAGGCCTTTGGGAGTAAGAATAGCTCTGGGAGGCTGCCATTTATTAAGCACCCACTGTGTACCACACTTCAGGACCTGTGAAGACAGCGGCTGTCAGTGCTCCATCTCTCCAGTATCCTTGGTGACACACAAAGACGTGCTCAGTAAATATTTGTTGAATGTTCAATGTCTGCATATGTTATCTCATTTGTCACCCAAACAAGATAGAAGGGAAGAGATGGGAGAGGCGTCAATGACGGTCTCAGAGCCTCTCTCTTCTACACACACACACACACACACACACACACACACACACACACACACACGGGCACGCATACACATTTCAAACCAGGACCCAGTTTATTCTTTCCACGTGCCAAACTTTGCCATACAAACCCTTGAGTTGTCAAGACCCTGATGGAAACACCTCCACGAAGCCTTCCTTAATCTGTCCAACAAGAGTCACTGTCTTCCACTTCAGTGTGCCCATTACACAGTGCCTGCAAGATTCCTTAGAGTGTAGTGATTAAGTGCTGTGGCTCGAGAATCAGACTTCAGGGCTCAAATTCTGGCTCAGATTCTTCCAAGCCATGTGACCCTATCCCTGAATACCTTGGTTTCTCTACCTGAGAGTGAGGGCTAATAATAGCACTGTTTTCCTTGGACTACTGGGAGACTAACAGGAATTAGCACATATAATGTGCTTAGCACAGGGCCTGACACAGAGTAAGCAGTAAATGCTAGCTATTCTCATAGCATCACTACATTGTGCCCGGGCCACAGATATCTGGGACAGGGAGCTGGGCTCACTGAGAATGAAACACTGAACTCCCCCAAGGACAGCAGAGGCCAAAGGTCACAGTGCATTAGCTTCTTTGTATGCTTATCCACCTCTACCCCAGGAAGCACCCCTACCCCCTAGAAGCTTAACTATGGAAGGTGTCAGTGGGTGATTCTGGGATGGAAGGGGGAAGGGCTGGGACATGGGGACGTGGGGTAGGGGCAACAGCTGGAAGCTAGGCTGGGCCTCAGGTGTGAACTGTAGACCCAGCGCAGTCCTTGGTAAGGCTTTGCTTCCACTGCCTCTCATCTCCTCAGCAAGCCATGATTTATGGATGAACAGAATCAAACAGGACCGCAGGCTGCTGGGAGGCCCTGGGGAAGCTGCTTGAGAGGCAGTGGACTTCTGAGGGCAAGCTCACTGGCTGCCTGGTGGGGGGAGGGCAGGCATATGCACAAAGAACACAGATACAAACACCGCAGCCCTCTCATGTACTCACACGCAACATGGAGACTCATCTCTGACACAGATATGCATACACATACACACATATACATACATACACATGGCCAGGGCCACGAGCAGATATCCAGTCCACCTTATCACTCATGAGGCTTGGGGCTTTCCGGTGCCTCCTCTGGCCTGCTATTCTCAATCCCGAGTCATTTGTCCACTCACATATTGTCTCCTCTTTCCTTTCGAGGTAGAGGGAAGTAGGTATAGTAACGCTTCCTGGAAGCTCATGACCTGGGTTCAAGCCCCAGTTCCATCACTGACCATCTGCACAACCCAAGCAAGGCCCAGGGTAGGTCTCATAGCTCTCCCTTTCCATGTTGATGATCAGTCCTTCACTCTCCTGGTGTGGTGCTGTTAGGACTAAATGACAGCCAACATTCATTGGGGACACCTAGTGTGGCAGATACCACACCAAGCACTTTCTGCATACCATCTCTAGAACCTTGGGCTATTCCCAACTGACAGGAGAAGAAGCAGAGGCCTGGAGAATCAAGGTCCTTGAGCCTGTGCTTTCCCAGCATGCTACAATGACCTCCCTCTGTCATGAGCCACGCTCTCTATTGCCTAGCCATTCCCATTTACCTCCTTCCCACATGCATGTGGCCAGTCATTTCATGTCTAGGGGGCTTTGCATGGTGTCTTAGTTAGCTTTCCATTGTTGTGATAAAGACAATGAGCAAAAGCAACTTGGGGAGGAAAAGGTTTCTTT